TGAGTCTATATTATTTGATTACTAATTCTTAAATCTATTTTTTTTTAATATATTTATAAAGCAATTGGGTGAGTGCATAGTAAAACCATTTTTTCTACTAATTATAGATGAACTAAAAAAATATGCTTGTAAATTGTACTTCAATGATGATGATTTAATTTCTGTGAAATGTAGAGACCCTAATATTTGCAAAATATGTAGCTGTAAAATTTTTTCTAATCTTTTGCAATCAGTAATTTTACTCGACTGCAGGCACTTCTTTTACTAGAAGTGTATTATGAAATATAATTGTTGTTCTTGCAAATATAAAGACTATAAAACACTAAATCGATATATTAAAATATCAATTCTATATTGTCTTGAAAAAATATTAAACATACCATCTTTTCAAGTACAAGCTGATGAACTACATGCACAAACCAATGAACTACAAGCACAAGCCAATGAACAGATGCAATTCAATGAACAGGTGCAATTTAATGAACTACAAGCATAAGATAATAATGAACAAGTGCAAATTAATGAACAAGTGCAAGTCAATGAACTACAAGTGCAAGTGTGTGAGCAAGCACAAAGCAGGCAAGCACAAAGCAGGCAAGCACAAAGCAGGCAAGCACAAAGCGGACAAGCACAAAGCAGGCAAGCACAAAGCGGACAAGCACAAAGTGGGCAAGCACAAAGTGAACAAGCACAAGATTGGCAAGCACAAGGCAGGCAAGTGCATAGTAGGCAAGCCAAAGCAGGCAAGCACAAGGTGGACAAGCACAAGGTGAGCAAGCGCATGGTGGGCAAGCACAAAGCAGGCAAGCACAAAATGGGCAAGTGAATAATGGGCAAGCACAAAGCAGGCAAGCACAAGGTGGGCAAGCACATGGTAGGCAAGCACAAAGCAGGCAAGCACAAGGTGGGCAAGCAAATAGTGGGCAAGCACAAGGTAGGCAAGTGCATGGCAGGCAAGCACAAGTCAATGGACAAACTAATGAACAGGTTAGCATTATTAAAATTTATTATACAGAGTTCTATACTATTCATATTATAAAATATATATTGAAAATTAATCTTGATTTAGGAATATAAGTCTGTAAATAATATATTAAAACCTCCATTGACATTATCAAAAAGGCCATATAGGTCAAAAGTACCAAAAAAAATAACAAAAGTTGGCAAAGTTCTAATTACTTCTAATAGAACTAAGATAGCTCAGTTAAAGCCTACGAATCAACAGATCAAATTTTAGTCAATTTATTTAATATTGCAAAACAAGCTAAAAAGCAATCAAAAAAGTCTAATTCAATAGAAA